GCTGCGTGCAATGACCTTCCTCCAACGGTTGTCCACGCTCTTTCTAGAACCCAGTTCAAAGCATTACTAGACATTTATTTATGCGAATCCTCGCTCTGGCAAGCACACTGCCCCGCGCTGAGAACATAAAGAGCAGTGCTACACCCTTTCTTCACTTGTGCCTTTCAGGTGAACGACAGCCACTGACCGACAAGAACAAAACCGACCCGGGAAACTTGAGCAAAAGCCTCGATCGTATCTATCAATCCGTGAATCCGTGAATCCCTAACCTACCAAACAAGCGCACCCGTGGGTGTATGGAAGAAAATCGAACTGCGGGATGCAAAACGTATCAATCCGTGAATCAGTGAATCCGTGACCTACCAAACAAGTGCACCCGTGGGTGTATGGAAGAAAATCGAACTGCGGGGGGCATGCAAAACGTTTTGCGACTAATAAAAACGAAGCATCAATGTAATTCTACTGGGGTTCACCAGCGAGATTATTTTAGTTCGATAGCGCAACGGTCGCCCGCGGATGTCGACTGTGAACGGGGACTAGCCTGCGGTTGGCTGTATGGAAGCACGATGAGCTAGCAACACCATTGGCAAGTTCACTTCCCAGCCACCTCCTTTGGCCACCAAACACTCCTTGATCGTTCGGTTACTACGTTCTGTTAAGCCATATGTTCACGGGTGTTATGGTGCCTTTCTTAGGCGTCTGAGACCCAGGTTATGCAAGCAATGCCTAAATTCCTCGCTCTCGAAGCAAGGTTCTGATCGGTTAGGATCATTTTTGGCACCCCATGTGTTTCATCCGTTGTGTTGACACTGAAACCCCCACGTTTATTCTGTCCCTATTTGTAACCCCCGCCCCACTTTTGTGTTTAGTGTGTATATATGAACTGACGCTTGTTTGTCCTTACCACTTCACCCATTTGGCCTTGAGGTCATCCGACCATTTGTATCTGACTTTGCACGTGTGACTGTCGCACGTGGGAGCCTGTTTGCTTCCTTGCTTCGTACTTTTGTAGTCCAAGCGGACTGTTTGTTTTAACGCGTATTCTACTGTCGAGGTTTGTAAAGTTTGTGAATTACTCTTACCCTACTAGTACCGTATAGAAACCCAGCTCCGACTTTGTTTTGCCTACCCGGAGGTTCTGGTATTACGCGTCACTCGAAGATACCGTTCGACCGTTACAGTACTCAACATCTTACGTCGTCTTGTTTGTAGAAAAGTTGTCAACTTTTGGAACAATTGTGAGAGAAACCGGATCCAATGACACGGAAACGATTGAAGCTGCGGAGGAAACAATTGCAATGCAGTTTGCTTCGCGCCCTGGTTCCTGTAAGTCACTTTGTGCTTCTAGTCGTAAAAGTAGTGCGGCTAAGAAAGCTTTAAGGATTGCTCAGCTCCAGGATTACCGGGTTAAGCGGGAGGTCGAGCTCCAGCGGGCTCTCTTAGTGGCGCATAGCAAAACTGAGTTAGCCAAAATTGAGCTGGAGGCCGAAGAGGACTCACTAGATGAAGTCTGGGAACCAGTGTACCTAAATGGACAATTAGCGGGGTACATGAAGCAATGGCAGACAGATGAAAGACCACTAATTTATGCTGATAATGTCAGACGGCCATCCATAGGGCCAAAACCGGCCATTTCCGTCACTCCAGTGTCAGCCACTATGGACCTACCAAAAGTGGAACTATCATAATTTGATGGTAATCCGCGTCATTACTGGAGGTTCACCCGCCAATTTGAGTTATACATTGCGAGCAAGGTGCAGGACGCCGGTCAGAGGCTCCTTTTTCTGGTCCACTACTGTCAAGGCGACGCGAAGGCGGGCATTGAAGAATGTGTGACTGATGCTCCCGCCGGAAGTAGCATACTCCAGGGCACGGGAGATTCTGCGCAATCTCTTTGGTCAGCCTCATATTACCGCTCGCTGCCTACTAGAAAGCCTGTTTCGTTTTGCACGACAGACCACTGGAGCAGCCAGGTCTTTGTCAGACTTGTGCGTAAAAATGCGCAGCTGTGAAATTGCGTTGAGGCAAATGTGTTACGTCTCAGACTTGCACTCACTAACGGTTGTAGAGAGAATTGTGCGTTCTCTTCCTTCGCCATTGCAGTACAAACGGGTCGAGGTTGTAGATAAGATATCTGTGAGTGGCCGGGACTCAACGTTCACGGACTTGACGGAGTTTGTGAACATGCGCTCCCGAGTTGCACGGAGTCGGTTCGGGCAACTGGCTCAAGAGGGGGACGTGAGACGCCCCCTGTAACGCCGACTTCTACCAACCAATCCCCTAGACGGGATGGTAATACCAGTTTCCTTACTAACATCAGACCAGACGCAGACGGTCGTCCAAGTGCTTGCGCATTATGTTCACAGCCCCACCCGATTTCCAGTTGCAAGCGCTTCCTGTCTATGAAAGTTCCTGACAGATGGAAATGCATACGGGAGCACAATGCATGCTTTGCCTGTTTAGGAGACTCCCACATGGCCAAGGATTGCAAGCCAGTAGTTCGATGCGCCAAGCCGGGTTGTACGGGACGACATCATAGTTTGCTACATACATCACAACCCGGAAACAAAGTTTCGACGCCCTCAGAGGCGGAGGTTTTGTGTGCCCTAACTCGAGGTAGTCGGCTTCCGGCACGCCTAGGAGTCATTCCTGTCAAGCTTGACAGTCCTGCAGGAAAGGTGACAACATATGCATTTTTAGATGCTGGGTCCGACATGACGCTAGTAAAGCGGGACCTTTTGGTGAAAAATGGGGTCAGTCTGCTACCCACGTCTATGACCATTGATACACTGGGTGGTTCCATGGGACGCACATCGGAAGCTAATGACATCAGGCTTTTAGCAATGGATGAAAGGCAGTCGATAGATATTGACAAGGCATTCATCGTTGACAGCTTACCTACGCAACCTGTCCCACCTATGAAAGAAGCGGCTCGCAAGTGGCCCTTCCTTAAGGAAGTTGCCTTCGGCGAACTGACTGAAAACGATGTAGGAATTCTTATTGGTTGTGACGTATCTGAAGCGCACTGGGTCTTTGACCAGCGCCTGGGGGGTAAAAAACAGCGGTTTGCTGTAAAAACCTTACTCGGTTGGATACCTATTGGTCCGATGAAAAACGGGACGAAGCAGAAGGTCGTCAGTCATCGTATATGCCGGTGCAGTCAGGGCATCCAGGAGCATTTGCAGCGACTGAACGACTCGGGATTCGCAGACACTTCAGCATCGAAAACTAGTCTCTCTTTAGAGGATCAAAGAG